CTATAAGCAGTATCTCACCAGGCACGATCAAATCCTTATCTGGTAAATGCAGTTAATATCTAAAATATTGACCAAAATGAAATTCGTTTCCAGTTGGCCACAATACAATGTCTCAGTTTGATGTATGGAAAGGAGATTTTGCCAAAATGCTACAACAAACGATATGCTTTCGCACTAAATTTATTAGCTTACAATGGCTTTATTATATATAAAATACACTCATTCATACGCAATTTTAAAATGCTCTAGACCTAATTATCTTACGTATGAATGATATTTGCTGTTACCATAGTTCATCTTAGTTATCTCCCTTTATGCATTGACCGTCATCCTAGCGCCATCATGCCGGCTATTCTTACTTTAGTACAACGACTTAAGGTTTCTTAATAGCTTTCCTTTCGCCCACTATAACTGAAAAGCAATTATTTCTTTCCAAAAAGTCGTTCGACTGGCCGTCGTTTGTCATAGAGATTTTCAGTTTATGTCTCCCCAATGTCACGGATTTCAAGTTAATATTTTCTTGCTACAAAAAGAACGCAACTTACTTCACAGCAAAGAAGCGGACATTCACAGTCGTAACGCATTTAAAGTGAAGCTGGCCAGAAAATAATACGACCAGTGGCAAGTCACTTTCTTTGATGATGAAACATCAGAGCTTTGGCGTGTATAGTAACGAGACATGGGTAGTTTCTTGTAAAATGTTTCATAAAAGGAATTGAAAATATATTAATCTTTCTTTTCCTTAGCACTTTGAACACAGTTATTTTTTATTGCAAAATACCTGTTTGAAATTATATATATATATATATATATATATATATATATATATATATATATATATATATATATATATCGGTTAGGTAAGGAAAAGGGAGCAAAGTTATGCACGTCTAGAGAGATTTTGCACAGAGCAAAATTCAATGTGTATCAGACTTTATGATACAAGTTAATATTTTTTCTCAAATCATTGATATTACAGGACGATTATTTGACTTAATAAAATCTTTCCTGTTAAACTGTGAAATGAAGGTCGTCCTAAGCGGGTTATCTTCCAGTTCCTTTCACACGAAGACGGGTGTTCCCCAAGGCTCTATCCTGGGTCCTACACTGTTTTTGGTCTTCATCAACGATCTTCATGTTGTCGTCAACTCCCAAGTTGATATCTACGCTGACGACACTACTGTCTACTTCTGACTCAATAGTAAATCCGGCGTCGTTGACAAAACTAACCTGGTCTAGCGCCCCGAGAAGGACTTCTAATCTGTGGTTGACTGGGGTAGGAAATGGCTTTTAAACTTTAATGCCTCTAAAAGGAAACTGCTCTCAGTTACCCATCATAAAGAACCCTCCCTGCCTTTCATCAGAATGGCTGATGCCCAACTCCACGAGAGCGCCTCTCTGCGCCTGCTTCGTCTCAGGCTGTCCACTGAACTGAAGTGAAACAACTACATTGAATCTATAGCTTCATCTACTGCAAGAAAAGTTAGTTCTCTGTGTCGCGCCAGAAGGTTCTTCTCGCCTAAGTCCATCCTTCAAATCTATAAATCAACCAGTCGTCCTTGCTTGAAAAACTGCTGCCATATATGGTCTGGTGATCCCGCTGTTCATCTCGATGTCCTCGACAAAATCCAGAGACGGATATGCAACATGGTTGGTCCTGATCTGGCATCCTGTCTGCAGTCGCTATCTCACAGACGTGCTGTGGCTTCCCACTGACTTTTCTACAAGTAATTTAATGGCAACACCTCTGACGAGCTACTTTCACTGGTTCCCAAACTGCATGAATTTAAGCGCGTTACTAGGTTGGTATCTCGATCCCACCCTTTCACTACCGAAACGGCTAAACGTAGCCATCTCTTCTACTCCAACAGCTTCTTATCTCACACCTCCTGTCAGTGGAACACCCTTCCTATCACGTGCTTCCCTGATAGCTATAATTTTCAGATGTAATGTCAGTCGACATCTTTCGATGTATTGACCTTGATCCCTGTCCTTCTCTTTATGCTTTTCCAAAACAACTCCTCTTTACTCTTACCCTGACTCTCTGTAACACTTTGCGTGCTTGTCGTACACCCTTCTTGCTTGGGGTGATTTGTTTTAAAAAAAATTAACCAACCGATGTAGGTACAATTCCCAGTATATACTTATCTTAATATATATATATATATATATATATATATATATATATATATAGTGTGTGATATTAAAATTAGAATATCTATCCTCATTTAAAAAATACTGCTAATAACTCGTTTTGTGGGAGATTGATTGATTTATCTTGTGTTTTACGGCTTATCAACCTTCTGCAGGTAATTTAAAGCTAAAAAATATTTTTTAGGCTGTGTGGCACCCTGCATTATTAGAAAACTAAAAAGAGATATTCATAAAAATATGATTTAATTTTTATTCGGTTTATTAACCAGTTGATAGTTATTTAGAGACGAAGAATAATTGAGTTTTGAGAATAATTCTCTAATTGTATTTAGGCGATCCGAAAGAAAGAAAAGGAAAGAAAAAAAAAGAAATAATAAAAAAAGAAAGAGAAGGAGAAATAGATAGTACAAAACCCGGTCATAAGAAAACTAAAACAACACAGGTGTCAAAAGGTATCCAGGTCAAAGTACCTGACCGAAATTCATGGAAAAATAGAAATTGTTATATTTGGTTGAAGGAATAGAGTTTAGAAATAATGATACGAGACGGGGTAGTGAGGGCGATTGATGCATAACAGATGTCGGTCAAGCACCTGACCTACTTTCGTGTCCGCGGAGTATGGGAGTTTATTATCAATTTGGTTGAAGAAATAAGATTTTAAGAACAATGGAAAAAAAAATATTAATAAGTGACAAACGAAAAGGGTGTCATTGAGATGAGAGGTGACCGCTGGGAATTGTATACGAAAACAAGACATTGGTACACAAACCCTGACCAGCTCTAGAGTTGAAGATAAGGACCACCCAAAATGATGAGTGAAAGATATTTTCAATTTGGATAATTAAGATTTTGTTAACAGGCCCGAGCGAAAGAAAGAGGTGAAAGCAATTGTTTTAGCTCGCAGAAGGCGTCGACAAGGCGAAAAAATTCTTTCTTTAAGTCGCATCTAATTAGCGGCAGGCTGTTTTGACAAAGGCCAAATGTGAAGGAAACCGAAATCGTCATTTTCGTGCGAAAAGGCCAATTTGGATTTTGTTTTTTTAAACAAGGTATTTCTTCCCCCCAGAACAAAGCTACGGATTGTCCACGCCCGATTGGAGACGTCACGAAGGAAGGAGGGAAGATACCGACCAGAGTCTCATTAGCCGAGGGCAGTCACATGATACATGAGGGAGGAGGAGAGACGCCCGACCAGAGTCTCATTGGCCGAGAGCGGTCACCTGACATACGAGAGACCAGGGGAAGCGGGTATGCGCCTCCCCGCCCCCAGAGGCACTGTAAGGAAGTAGGAGTGAAAGTAAGAGCGATAATGGGAAATCAGAAATAATGCGACTTTTGGAATTATCAAGAAAACCCTGGCGCCGACAGACCCACCCCAGTTTGTTACGGCGTCAATAAAAGTAGGACCCCAATCGACAGAAATCAGTTGCAGGGCGGACAGCGAGGGAGCTTGAACGCGGGCGGCGGGCCCGGTTCATTCGCCCCTTTGCGGGCAAGAGAATCCTAAGACAAGAAATTCTTCCAGCCCAAGTCGAAGTGAAGAAAATTTCCCGAAAGCCGAAGAGAAGTTAAAGTTGCAGGCCAAACAGGCAGAAGAGTTGCAGGGCGGACGGCAGAAGAGTTGCAGGCCAAACAGGCAGAAGAGTTGCAGGGCGGACGGCAGAAGAGTTGCAGGCCGGACAGGCAGAGAAGTTGCAGCTGGACCGCGGACAGCGAGGGAGCTTGAACGCGGGCGTCGAGCCCGGTTCATTCGCCCCTTTGCGGGCAAGAGAATCCGAAGTGAAGAAAATTGCCCGAAAGCCTAAGAAGAGTTGGAGCTGCAGCCCGAAAGTCGATGAGAAGTTAGAGTTCAGCCCCGGACGGCAGAGAGAAGAGTTCGGACCTTGTCGAGAAGAGTTGCAGGGCGGACGAAGAAGAAGTTACTTGCAGTTGCGCCTAGAACAAGTTGAAATCAAACCAAGCCTAAGGATAGAAATTCGTCCAAGACAAATCGAAGTGAAGAAATTCGTCCAACTCAAGCCGAAGTGAATAAGCTCGTCCAACTCAAGCCGAAGAGAAGAAGTCGATTCGCGCACTGACGGCGAGAAGAATTAGCCGTGAACGACTGGTAGAGATCAGCGCCCAGTGTCGAAACCAAACCACACCCCGACATAGAAGCTTGGTGCCACAGTCCACAAAACGGGTCGGGAAGTAGGAATACTTTTTGTGTAACAAACATTTAGATATAAAAGGTTGTTACCTTTTTTTTTTGTTCAATAATTTTTGGCCTCGTGAGTTTTTCTTTTACTTGTGTGTTATCACCCCCGTTGAACCCAGCTGGCATACGGCCCCAACCCCTGTTTGAACCCGTCTGTCTAAGATCTAATCACAACGTGGAGATCAGTGCAGTTACCCTAGTAACCAGGCGTTGGAAGCGAGTTGGGAACGGCGAGGCTGATATTCATCTAACCAAAGGGTTAGAACGTCACACTTGGAGCAGCGAGGAGCGAACAGCTGACGCCGCGGCAAAGACGTCACAACTGGTGCTATCCGTGACCAGGATATCAGAGCCTGGAGAGCACGTGACGTCACAACTAGTGCCGCGAACGAGATCGAACGACAGAGTCGACGCTGCGACCAGGGGGGGGGGGCGACGTCACAGCTGTAAAGAGTTTTTTTGGATAATAATGATTTACTGATACAAATCTCACTAATTAACCCATAGCTGGTGGAGAAGAAGTTCATTCATATCTTACCCAGTGTGTTTTTGCGTGTGATTCAATGTAAGGCACACAACAATAATTGGAACACGTCTCACCGATTTTCAATTCCGAGCCGTTATCCATTACACCTCCCGCAAATCCAAGCTTCCAGCACCTGGCATTATCAAGCGGTCATCCATCTAGGTAATAACCAAGCTCGACATTGCTTAACTTCAGTGATCGTACGAGAAGCGCTGATTTAACTTGGTATGGCCGTAAGCCGTTTTGTGGCTGTGGGTTTTTATTATGCAAATATAGTGTAAAAATTAGAGTAGAGTAATGGATAGCGGCTCGGACTGAGGAATCGGAGAGCTGAGTTCGAATTCCATTCGAATCCATCATATTCACTTACGTGCTAATACCATTGGGAAAACGATAAATCCTCTTCTCCCCACCCCCAGCTATGGGTAAATATCAGGACAGGGCGTATTCTATAGCCTTGGATAGTAACTGGTCTACCGCAGAAAGAAATGGCAACCTACTTTGGGAAAAATCTGCCTCGCCAGTCATGTATCGAAAGATACATGATCGCCTAAACGTGTATCCCGTATGGCACATAAATGACTGAGTGTAATGTAAATCTTTATCTATAAATGAACACAAAACATGCCACTGATAAATATTTGTTTAACATTTTCTTGCATATATCTGAATTTTATACTTTTAGTTTAATGGCTCTAATCATTCAGTACCTCCAAATCAAACCGTATCGTTTCATCACTACCGAGCAGGCCCAACATTTACTCCAGTTCTTATGAGCAGTTCTACTCTCAATGAGACTCCCTTTCCTATAGCGATTTTCTAAGCATAGCTTAGATGTGGCACAAGGCCGAAAGTATGGGTCACCCAGTGAGAATTGTATTCACTATTCTGTCGTGATTGTTCTAGCGAGGCAAACTTGCTAACCATTACACCACATTGACGTGCCCGACTCTTTTTCTATAATGGGACTAAAGGTCACTCAAGATCTTAAGTGAAACGCGTATATTAATATCCTGGCAAAGAATGGTAGGTTCCTTGTGCTTCTCCATAAACTACTTCAGTTTTACTGTTATGATTTTACAAGAGACAGAACGAACCAAAAATGGAATATATGGATTCCTATATTTGGGCTGTTGGTGTTCACTTCTCATACTCAACCATGACAAAATCCAAAAGCGAATACGCTTGAACTGTGGATGATAAGTTTTGTTTTTCATTCTACGATCTATTATCCACGGACGAAACGTTGATAACATCTCGCTACCCAATCGCTATTTTCATGGCAAATGTTCAGACAAGCAACATTTCCCCTTTGTACCAGTTTAGACCTTTACAGTTAGGATCCGCGATGCTATGTACGCAGGGTGAAAACATCCTCATTTCCATTCAATCACGTTCTGCATTTAACTGTCACTTTAAAGAAAGGTCACCTAACAGGATATTTCCAGATCACTTGAAGTATAACCTCTTCAAATGTAAGGTCAAACGTTATATATCCTACATATCCTTATACAATACACTCATTATTATCTCACTTTACTCTAATCTAACTCACTAATCATCTGCCTTGAGAGCCTTTTTGTCCTTGTATTGGGTGAACAATTGTATAAAGAATGTTAATAACGATAGCTTGCTATTTTATAATATTCATCAGTTTTCTAAATAATTTTTCTACTGTCTCAAATTTAACATGGCTTTATCAGTTTTTATTTCTTCACATAGACCTTGTTTGTTTGAATATATTTTTTATCCTCATTTAATCACTTTTAATGAGGAACCTCAATTTTACAATTATATTAATATCTCCAGAGACTGGACGTCATTCGCTCATTCCTTTAATTTGGTGTCTTCGAAACCCTTTTGTAAATCACGAAATATAAAGGTTTATAGAATTTTAGGTAAGTTTATTTTCCTGGAATTTACTCGTTAGGTTTCTTGGTAGTTACCTATAGCACTCAAGTAAGAATTCTAAGAACTTATGATAATCTTCCCGATTTCTCTTAACACCATCAACGAATTTGAAGGGACCTATTATTATAGAGCGTATAATACTAACCAAAAATCATTACTCCACCTATACACTGTAGTCTTCGAATTCGTGATAGTGGACTATTTTTATGAGAATCAAACCTCCACGAGCCTAGCAATAACCAATAACTTTACACTGATTACTAAAAATGCAGTAGTGGAATCAGTTTTTATGTACGTCTAGCTTAACTCATGTTGAACTAAAGTTGCTTTCATTCTTTAGACAATGTCTTTTAATATTCGGTATTTTTTCGCAAGAAAAGATTCTTGAAATATTTTCCCACTGGTTAATCCAATTTTCTAGTTTTTTTTTCCAGCTCCATTTTTATTTCTGTCTCAGCGAAACTTCGGTAATTCTTACGTTGTCATTGTTTTAAGATTCTTTTTGAGTTTCGATAATAAATTCCTTTAACCCAATAACATCAATTGGTTAATACTATTTTTATTATGAAAAAAATGACTTGCATACTAAAACCAGTAGTAAAACATGAAAAAAGTCATACATAAAAGAGACACACACATATTGAAACGTATGCACACGTGAGACAAATGAATGATTTTGTTTTGATTCCAGAAAATGAAATGCAAATATTAATATTATATAATTAATTAATTCTTCTTCTTCAGGACGTGGACGATCGTTAGTTTAATAATTTAATTTAAACCGTTAGCATGTTCTCTCTCTCTCTCGCTCGCTCTCTTTCTCTCTATATGTATATATATGTATATATATATATATATGATTAAATATACTCTTAAGGTGTGATATATTTATGGGATAAAGTACTCAATATCAGAGATAGAGAGTGTGTAAATAGAAAATGAACATTGAAGTCAAAACTTAGAGCCGACAGGCTTTTTCATACTAGACGCAATCGTCAGGCCACTATTTTTGCGTCTAGTATGAAATAGCATGTCGCCTCTAAGTGTTGACTTCAATGTTCACTTTTATACATATATATATATATATATATATATATATATATATATATATATATATATATATATATCTAGAGAGAGAGAGAGAGAGAGAGAGAGAGAGAGAGAGAGAGTGTGTAATGGGTAAATTATCGACAGGTTATATATTTTAATTTCGCACATGAGTGTTCGTTGTTTTTGATTTTGTCTGCTGCAGAATAGGGTAAGTTGTGCACCTGTGAGAAGAAAAGCACAATGGTGGAATCCATTCCACCAGAAATTTGGAAACGGCATGGTATTTGCGGAGGAAGCTCCAATACAAAAATTTCAGTGTTTAGGTTTTAATTTGAAGACAATAAAGAAGATTTGGAAAGAGTTTGATGAGTCTAATGGTGATTACGAAAGTGTTTAGCGGGATCACTAGTGATAGCGACGTTATGCCGAGATGGTTAATGAGCCCAATCTTGAAAAGTCTGTTGCAGTTGTGACATGGAATGTTAGGGGCTGAACCAGGATGGGAGGCGGAGCTATCTTGATCTTGCCTTCTCTGGCATCTCTGTTCGTTGTCCCTGATTCTTTTCTTTTTTAAAATTAGTTAATCTGCACCTTACAAAGGAGCGCTAGACTGTACGGTCCTCAGCAGACTCTTCCCAGCTTGAGATACACCTTCAGCGTGTCTTTGTAACGTTTCTTTGGTCTGCTGAGTGAGCGCTTGCCTCTCGGTAGCTCACCATAGAGCAATCTCTTTGGGAGGAGCCAGTCGTCCATGCGGCGGACATCACCAGCCTACCGGAGCTGATAGCGCAGTAGGACGTAAACGTACATGTTAAGTAACACGCAATAAGGTAGTAGTCAGCTTTTTAAACTTTCTGGTAATTATTTCTTTACTGATTTCGATCCTCACTGGGTGTCCTACACCTGGAACCTTGTACAGTACTAAGCTTTATAAATATCAATGTGGCCTGCTGTGTGTTTAATCCAACTGCACATTTCCCAGTAGTCCTAGAACTCGTGAGTTTGGCCGCTAACATTAAATGATTCACCATTTAATGTTTACTAAAAAAGAAGATTTATGACGTGGTATTCGAAAGCTTATGTAGTGGTATCGTTCAACAGATATGTTCGTCAAGTTTACCCATCCAAATGAATTAATGTGCCTATAGGTTTAATATCGATTCGAGTTCAATTATTACATCAAATATTGTAAAATTCTCCCGGAATATTTTTTCTGGCCGTGAGATTTGAAAGACATACTTGCATCATTTTGCTTTGGGGAAATTCGCCGCATATGTTCATGTGACAATCAAAATTTTTCTTCAGATTTCTGGCGAACATTCAATTTAAATACGAATTTATGAGTGGCACAAGCATTTCAAGGCCAAGCAAATGTTTGTTCAAATTGATCGTAAAGAAAACCAATCACGATCAAAACAAGAAAGGGGAAAAAGAAATTCATGAACGAATACATGAGGACTATCTTGTCATTTAGATATTTGAAATCGGTGACAGCTCCTGCCAGGAATCAGAAAAATTTCCGATTCCATCTCGTATAAATCATTTTGATTCCTGACTTACGAAGTTATGCCCATGAGCTATTTAAAATCATTCGTTCTATACGCCGCCAAACGCAATAATCTTATTGTATTTCGTTATGGAATTATTTCTACGTCAATAGTATGCGGTTTTTAAAACGATTAGACGGATTTAGAAGCTGCGGGAGAGTTTCAAGTTATTTCGGCTTGACTGAATCAAATTACTTATCCGGATTTTATTGGAGTTGTTCGAAAGCTACTCTGAAAACAATATGAACGAAAAAAGTTTTCAGCTTCGTTAAAAAAATCTTTGAAAGATAGCTTTCTTCAAATCTCTTTTTTTTTCCAAAGAAGTTCTTTGTCGAAAATGAAAAAAAAAATGAATAATGTTAATCTAAATGGAGAGCATTGTCTACATATGGAATATTTTACGAATGACGTTAAAGAAAAATCTCGAATAAATATTTGAATTCTTATAGCTTTATATTGAACAAAAATATTGATTCTTCACTTGAACAGTTATCTATTATTGGCATCAGTAAATAATATTCGAACCATAGTTTAATGATTATTCTTCAGACAAATAAATTTTTCCTCTGTAAAGGATCAATTCCAGTCATCACCATCATCATCTCCATAGTCGGGGGGATTGTAGTATCGATGTGCACATGAGCATCTGACATGATCTTTCCATATGTCTCGATTGCTTGCCAATGTATAAGTGACTTTGAAAGATTTTCCAGTCCACTCAGTCATCTT